TATCAGATACTTTTAGAGGAACTCCTCCAATGGCTTTGCCTTGTTGAGCGCTGTGTCTGCAGTTTATTAACAGGTCTCACTATACTGGATTTTGGCACTTTGGACTTCTCCTAAAAGTTTGTTAATCAATTTTGTTAACTGAACCGGATTCCAATCTGCAAAAGAGTCTGCCTGATTAACTAGTTTGAATATGACTTTGTAATCATTTATTTTTTCCATGGAATTTCTAGATTGATCATCACTTGACTGTTTTGAACTGGATTCCCCTTCAATTGATCTCTGCTTTTTCTCCTTTTTCTCCTTTTTTTCCATTCTACTTTCTTCCAATCTTCTTCGTTTTCACTATTTCCTCCTTCAATCCCACAAGAATCGCTTCTTGTTTCCTAGCTACTCACAACCCAAGACATTTCTCCACAATCGACTTAGAAACACACGCCATTAAACGTAGATTGTGCTTCTTCCTGTCTGCTGTATGATCCAACAGGGCACCTCTCAAACTTCTTTCCATCTAGCTATTATGAAAATAGCGCCCCCTTCATTTCTGGAGTGCGATTGTCCCATTTTCAAATAAGGTATGGGACTGACAGTGGTCCGTCCCCGCCCCTTCCTGTTTGCTGCAACGAGGTCATTCTCCTTTTTTTCGGACTATCAGCTATCCAGTTCAATGGAAAAGAATGCAAAGATTCGAAGAACATTGAAAATTACATTTTTCATTTTTACTCTACCCTCTATAACTCCATTTCTATTGGGGATGATGATGATTCAATATTTGACCAAATCAAAGAATTTACTCCACAAATTGATAACTCCTGGAAAAGCTTATATAACTCTGATTTTAGGATTGACGAATTAGATGCAGCTATTGGCAAAATGTCCATGAACAAAATCCCAGGAACAGACGGCCTCACAGCTAATTTTTATCAACATCTTTTGATTGATATAAGGGAAATCCTTTTTAAAGTTATTAAAGAATGTCTGGAGAATGATGAACTGACAGCAAGTATGAAACGGGGCTGATAATCTTAATTCTTAAGTCTGGTAAAGATCAAAGGTTGTTGGACAACTTGTGACCGATAACTTTGCTCAAAGTTGATTATAAATATTCTCAGGAGCCATTGCTGTTAGACTCAAAAAAGGCCTTTCAGCAGGTATTAGTGAATCACAATCTGTTTTTTTTAAGGAACGTTCCAGACTTAATAGACTATAAAGAACTGATACAAAAAGGTTTTATTCTTTTTTTAATTTTATTTTTATGAAGCATTTGATTCTTTGAAACACATTTATGCTGAAAACTCTACATCAGTTTGGATTTGTGATAGATTTATAAAAGCGATTGCAATTTTATATTAGTTCAGTTAGCTATGGAAGTTATGGTACTCGCTGTAGGTTTGAGATTAAAACAGGTATATGACTAGATGTGGATGCTCCCTATTAATTCTTTCAATACTTATTACGAACACTGGTATCCAAGGTATTTCAGTCTTAAATAAACAAATTAAAATTCGTCCCATTAGCTGATGCTACCACTCTATTTTTATAAAATTAGGTAAATTATAGATCTATATCCAATCTTCCTTTCTTATCTAAAATTCTTGAGAAAGTAGTTGCCAAACAAGTTTGCGATCACTTACACCATAATGAACTTTTTGAAGAGTTT